ACCTTGGTGACGACAATGGTGCCTCCTCTCGTGTCTTGTGAAACTGGGCAAGCTGCTCAAAGGGTAGTCGCAGATGACGTCCGAGTTGAGCACGAAGAAGGGAGCATCATCCTTGGCGAGGACGTCTTCCGCAAGCTTGAGGGGGCCAGCGGTGCCGAGAGGCTCGGTCTCGATCGAAAAGGTAATCTTGATGCCGAATCGCTCCTCGTACTGTAAACAACCACGACATGTCAGTTTTTGACCCAGCTGGGAAGAGAGAGCCATTTGCGCGTGCAACAAGAAGCCAGTATGGTATAGATGACGTACCTCGGCAAGATGCTTCTCCATGATCTCGGGACGGTAGTTCACGGCAAGAACCACATCGGTGACGCCTGCGGCGGCCAGAGCCTCGATCTGGTGTAGAATCATGGGCTTGTTGGCAAACTCGACAAGGGGCTTGGGGAGAGTGAGGGTCTATCGGTCGGCGGTATTAGCATCGCGTTGATTGAAAACGGCGGTGTCTCAGCACAGTCTGCGATTGTCGAAAGGAAGGCATACAAGGGGGCGGAGACGGGTGCCGAAGCCGCCGACGAGGATGATGGCTGAGAGGTGTTAGTAAGGTATGATCGTAGATGCGCTGGCCCTAGCAAGCTTCCTGTGGTATTTGGGAAAGGTAGGAGACGCTCACCCTTCATGGTTGCGGAGTTGATGCTCAGGGGCTTCTGCGCGCGAGCACGAAAAGGAGCTGTTCGGATCTCGGCGGTGCAGTCGCGAAAACCGAGAGGGGAGGAAGGAGGGTATCACGACAAAGAGGAAATGCCGAGAAGGAGAAACGCAGGGGTATCGCAGGGAACGAAGGAAAGCTTGGAGAAAAAGTGTGCTGGAAGTTGAGAGCTCAGGTGAGGCTCGTCGTGGGAATCGTGCAAGATGGTGGAGGTAGGAGTGTCCGAGATGACACGACAGCTCTTGCGGTTTCACTTCAACTCTGGCAGCGACGACAGGAGACACGGGACCCCACAATATCGAGGGTCCACCTACCTTAGGGGGAGCAACAGGGGGGGCGCTTCCAACCTCAGATGGAAGCTCCAGGTGAGGTAGGGCTCCATTGAGCCAATTGCGGTGCAGCCTCCAATGGGATCCAGGGGCACACCTCGTGACGAATGGAGTGGGGTTTCAGGCTCGGCTCAGCACTGGCTCGTGGTGGACGATGGTTCACAGCGTGGCTGTGACGCCGGCCTTGAGTCTCGTACAGATGGTAGTAGCTCGTGAAGAAGCGCCCCAATTTCCTTCGGAGCGAAATTGTTTCAATGCCGGCGCCCTAAGTGGCAATCGCTCAACCATGGATTGGTAGGTACTCAGCATGGTACAGTGGGTGGGTTGTTTGTGTTTGCCTCCTACAGGTCGGCACCACCCACTAACAGCTCGAAGCTGGATCACTACCTGCCAGCCGCGCGCCCTATGGAGGCCCGCCGCCTGTGTAGTGCTACCTAGGTACCACTGTGCCGCACCACACTGCATCATGAGGGGTGGAATGTCTTTTTGGCACAACATGATGCCGCATTGCTTTTCTGACTCTGCTGGGCCGTCTCATGTGACCCAACTCGGTCTCAAACAAAATCTTCCTCACCGTTTGCGTCCCATTCTGCATGGTCTTTCAATCGTAGCATTGACCCCGGTCACGCATTGTAACATGGGACATGTCAAGTTTGGATGGGGGACAATGGCTACGCCTCTTCGCAAGAAACCCAATTTTTTCCCGAGGGGGGAGGGGGAAAGGGGGTGGACCGTAGTTAAACGATGTCGACGCAAACTTGCCTCGACACCCACCCCTCAGGTGACGCGTCAATGCCAGTCTTTGTGTCTCTCGGTCCTGTTCATGCTGGAGGTAAGAAGTGCCACTGTCAGGTGCGACACGCAGGAATAGAGAGTTACTTGAAATCCCCATGTTTGGGGTGGTTCACTGGCAAACCCCATCTGATGTTCAGTCCTAAGCCACACGGGGCGATCATCAGTACACCCTCCCCACTCACCTGACTGCCCCCCTCCCTCCCTCTCAGCCCAGCCATTACCTCTCCCGAAATTACTGTACGATTGACAAAACCCTACGCGTACATCGACGTGGGCTGATGATGCCAAGAGCCGGGGAAGGCCTGATGATACTCCCTTCTGTGATGTCAATTCTCAGAGGGGAATGGAACACGGATGGTCAGGTTTAGGGATGCCAGACCTTCTTGTCCCATTCGAATCCTCGTTCAACCCCGTTTCCCCACGTTCCTATGTGTTAAGACACTGCTGATCCGATTACCGTCGCCAACATGAGCCGACCCTGCCACACGAATTTGCCGTGTTTGATGTGATGGGTGGCCACCCTCCCCTCCCTACCTGATCATACATGCGCAGCCGAATCCCGGGTGTTGGCTGCGAGACCTCTGGCCTGCCTTGCCTGATG